TAACATGACACTCAGTGTCTTGTTCATTGGCCTTGGAGTTTTTTCTTCTGAATTAGGAATATCAAGCACTACTGAAAAGGACAGGGTTTTTTCTTGACTTTAATACAATTATTTACACATAAAACTTAAACTAGAGTTGCTTAAATGTAATATTCCAAATCTGAGATTTCCAATAACACCTGCTGAAAATCCATTAAAATTTTTCCAATATATCAGACTATTTGAACAGGAAACATATAGCTCCTCTTAGTGGTACAACTAATAACTGTAACCCACCTAGTTGTTGAAAGCTCAGCAATGAGTAAAAATGTACTCAATTTGGTTAATTATTTACAATGTGACTGAATCTGGCCAATATGAAGACACACATTCTTTGCTCAACTTTTTCCTTTATGAAAATTATTTTTCTTGACTTTGAATATTTCCTGACTTAAAAAAATTTGATTCCTCTCTCCATGTATGTTACCCAACTTCCACATGCAATTGCAGATCCCATGTCCACTGGATTAGACTCTGGGTCTCGAGGTCAAATCTGAAATTCCACTTGTCACAACTTATTAGCTCATTTACCCACCAATGTATCCCAGCTCTCAGGCCTCTCAATGATAGACAGATCCCTTTTAAACCCTAGGTCTCCAACATTGAATAAAAAATTCTGCAGAGCCCAGTGGCTTATATATATCTCTAAATAAATGCACTGAGTATAATGACCACACCCTCACTACTCTCATTTACCTCATTCTCACCTCCCAATGATTAAGGATAAATAAATAATAAAGTACGACAAATTGATTATTTGAATAAATCCTAACAATGACTCGTTACTGGAAGGTCCGCCATTTATCAGAAATGGACTGACATATTGCACGCAAACTTTAGGCCTTGAATGGTCGTGCGAAACAACACATAGGCCTCCCATTAACCTAAATTCAATGCATATTGCGGCGAAGGCGCCTACTTCCAAGCGGCTCGGTCAGAAAACCCTCCGGTCATCGTGGGAAATCCTGGCAGTATAGGATGGGCTAGGATCGCGTGCTTTTCCCTCCATTTCCGGGCGACCACGTGCTCTCGCACCGTGGACGCCATCGCCATCGACCTCGCACGTGGGAAAACGCGCGGAGTCTCATGGTGTCCTCGCGTCCACAAGGAGCTACTGCGCACGCTTCAGACTAGATGTCTCTCATTGCGAAGGCGGACGACTTCCGCGGCGGGGCCTAAATGCATCCATCCTCGCGATCAAACGGATCATGCATAGCAGCGATCAGTTTTAATTTCATGTTATTCACGAAACAGGCGTGGAAGCGCCTATTGCATTTCTTCAACCTCTCCCATCGTAATATTAAACTCCCTCGCATTCCTCTCTGCGATCATCAACATGAACAAAATTGGGCATGCTACTAATCTTCTTAAAACAGAATGACTCCAGGAAATTTGAAGCTCCTTCTCCCTGTAAAATGAGGAATCTCGCATTTTAAGATGTGAATTTCATGCCGGTAATTTACTAAATTTTTATTTCCTCGCTTCCTGGGCAGCCATTCCTGGGGTTTTTTCTCGGGAAACAGATCAACCAAAAGAAAGACATTCACTTTTTGATGACGAAAAGTGCTTTTCGAGCGCTGCCTCCAATCATTTCCCCCAATGTTGCCAGATATCGTGCTGAAGTTATGTCGGATTCATGAATGCTTCTTCGTTCGTATCGCTGCTTGCATCTTCTTTCTTTTAATGCACGGGACATTTTCGTGCAGAGTTCATGACATGAACAGAGAACGAAACGGTCGTTAGCAGCGACCGATCGATGTACAGAGATAAGGAGATATCTCACCCTGACATCCCTGAATTTTAAGAGAAATGGCGTCCGACACGGATTTTCCCGCTTCCCGGCGGCATTCCCTCCTCAGACTTCGTCAAGCCGGTTCGAGGAACTCCAGATTAGGCCTAACGTTCCCAGTGGCGTAGGCAGGAAATCGGCAAGGGTTGAGGCCAGCTAGACACCCCCAACCCTACGCCTACCTCCACTACCCGGAATTTACTTGGTCCTGAAATTCCCAAGGAAGGTTGAAACATGCTTGTCAGTGTCACTGACCAGAAAGCCCAAAGGGGGGGGGGGGGGGGGGGGGGGGGGGGCCGCNGGGGGGGGGGGGGGGGGGGGGGGGGGGGGGGGGGGGGGGGGGGGTTCTAACCCCCAACCCCCCCCCCTTTTCTCTACGCCACTGAACGTTCCACGTCCGCACTGAAATGGTTTGAGAAAGTCTGAACAAACCGGCGACCGGCCTAACGTTACGCGTCCTCGACGAGACGTCGAGGAAACCACGGGATTCACTTCTTTGGGCTCCATAGACGCCAACTGGTGGCGGAAGAAACTTCTCTCAGTCCCTGTTCCCCTTTTAATACGCGGATGGAACTTTCACCGAGGAAAGGTACAAATGCGAATAGCCAGTATTGCTGTGTTGTCGGCCTTTCATCGCTTCCCTCCACCCCCGGAAGAAGTCGAAAGAGTCAACGCTATAACTAAGCGTTATAGCGAGTTATAACACGGCGTGAGAGCGGTCGTAAAGCGCCGAGAAGAGTGGATTTGGAAAAGGCTGATGATCAAGAAAGCCAATATCTTCCACCGTGGTCGTCTCTTCGCTTCGTTTCGCGAAGGATCACAGCTTTCTACCAGGTAAGCTCGCTAGTTCTGTAGACCTATGCTAAGACCCATCAGTTAAGCCTCGCTTAGGCCTGGCCACAGTTTCTAGGAATAGAGAGCAAAGAGGGAAATTTCAAGAAAAAGTCCGAATAATACATAAATATGGACCCTGTATGATGGAGCAAACGAAATGAACCCACACATTAAATCGCGAATCGGACCGCTTCTCTGGTCTCAAGGAAGAACGGACCAACCCTACCCGAGCATTTAAGAGAATTAAATATTAAATTCCCCGCATCAGTGAGGAATTTAATATTTAATCCTCTTAAATAATCTCGCTCCAAGCCGCGCAGCGTTACTTTTCCATCGACCCACCGAAAATACGAAGAGGAAACCGGATCGCGATTTTCCCCGATCCAATTTTGCCACGAGGCGTTCCGAGAGACCCATGCAAATCGTGACCTTTGACCTTTGACCTTTGACCGTTCGCTGCGGTCAGGTGCTTCGCCCGAGAGTGTCAAAGTGTCACTCTAATTATTGGGTCTAATTATTATAAAGGACCCCAAGGGGTCCTTTATAATAATTAGAGCCAGAAATTCTGGATGATAATTATTATAAAGGACCCCAAGGGGTCCTTTATAATAATTATCATCCAGAATTTCTCTCCAGGGGCTCGATTTTAATCTTCCCTCAGTACCTTAACTCACTATTACTTGAAAGTCTCTATTATTCTTATTCTTATTCTTATTATTCTTGCAGTTCCTCGAGCGAGGTTACGAGATTATACCGGAAGTTAAATGCTAGGAAAAAAAAAAACGAATATCCCAATACTTTTTTTGTCGCCTGCGAAGAGAATTTGACTCGTTGATCGACCGTCATTTCTTTTCCCTTCCTCGCCAGGCGGATTCAACGAAAAGAATATTTATTTTCGTTCAGCCGGACAAATTTGCCGATTTATAAATAATTTCAGTCGTTCATGGGAACGATGTGAGCTCTCATTGGAAGATTATATCCGATTCCCCGCCGTTTTCGTCCATGGACTCTTTTGCGAAAAAGCATCAAGTGCAAATTCGCGAAGCCGAAGCTGACGATGTCCGCAAATTCAGGTTTATCCCGCCAAAAATCGCGCCATTCCCCCCGAAACCATACGTTATTGCGCAGATAATACTAACCGACTGCCGCAGCTGCGAAGGATCGAATTTCGCGCGTCTTCAAGTCGAGAAACGATTGGTCACGTGGGCATCAAAAGCGCGGGTTAAAAGATAAACGCCCCCAGCTAAAAATAAAAAAAAACGACCTGAAATCCTGAATATTTCCTCCATTATAAAAATCCCTTGGACACCACTGGACCAAATCTGGTCCCCATTTCATCAATGCAACATCGTTTTGATTATTTTTGATCGCCCACTCCCCCCATCCAGCGAGTCTTCTCGTTTTTTCTCACGATTTGCAGGCGGAGAGAGCACGGGTCGGCGAGCACGCACGGGGAAACCCCAAGTCTGTCTCAACCGGTCAGGGGCGGATACAGAAATTTTTCATAGGGGGGCGATTCCAAAGTTCCTACCCCCCCCCTTCCCCCCCGCACGCCTACCATCATTCCTCGTCCTTTCGCCTTTTTTTAATTTTTCGTCTGGGGTAAGAACTTAAGTATCTATTTCACTGGCTCCAATAAAATTTAATGCAGATGCTATTTTGAGTAAATAAATAAAATCCCAACCTGGCCATAGGGGGGCGGTCGCCCCCCCCTCCTGTATCCGCCACTGCAACCGGTCCCCGTGTCATAGGTCCTTCATGTCCTTGCTGTCCTTGCCCTTGGGGTCGTGTAAGCAAGAGAATTCCTAAACCACCGAGAAGAATGTATGGGCCCTTCTAGGAGGACGCTAGCCGCAATTTGTTTCCGTGATTCGCCGACGAGAGAGTGTTCTCCAAGGATTTGCATCGATGTCCTTAGTATTCTCGAGGGGTCGCCTGTGATTATGCAAGGAAAAAGAAACATCGGAGGGTTGGATTTTTCCGAGTACGGAAGATACGAGAATTGTACTTCATTCCTTTTTACGGTCTTCCTTGCGACTACCTAAGCGTAACGACTGGATCACTGAAATCAGCGACCCTCGAACAGCACCTGCCGAATCAAATTCCATTTCTCACATAAGAAGCAGAACCCGACGCCAGCGACATCGAGCCGCCCCGAAAAACTCGGAACAACACGCTTCACAAAAGCCTCCGCGAAACCCGAACGAGACCCTCTCCTTCCCCGTCCGCATCCCCCCATCGACGCTCGACGCCTCCCACGTCGCGACCGTGCATCGCCCTCCCGAGCATCCTTCAAAAAACGCGACAAAGAAATTGCACCTTGCGGACGGGATCCCTCATGCCTCGGCCTCCCCTGCACGACCCACACGACGACGCCGGGCCCACAGCCGACGCCGGGCCCACAGCCGACGCCGGGCCCACAGCCGACGTCATCCTCGCCCGGACCCAGCCCAACGAAAAGAAAAAAAAGATCGCATACTCCCGAGATAGCTTATCTCTTATCTCGAGCGGAAGAACTCCTCTCGGTCGTGGGACAGTCGCTGGGAGCTCCCCGCTCCCGTCGTCCCTGCTCCTTCAAGCTTCATCCGATGGGTCTGTTCCTTTCCGTATTCACCCTCTTTTCCTGAAAAAAATTTTGTACTCGGATACCTCCGAGTGCTAAACGGTACGGACTATACGGCTGTAACGTTTTCTCAGCGGCAGCATGCAGTGACGTCATGGAATCCATATCGAGCTTTCGAATTCTTGTTGGTAGAGGAAACAGGAAAGTTTCGATGATAAGTATGAAGGGTCCACAGAACACTTTCACAGTGTAAACTCCAATCGAGACGGAAGTCATTATATGCTACTTATTAATTTCCATTTGCTTCATCATCTTTTAATATTATCTTTCCTTTTAAAAATGGATGGGATTCGAAACGGGGGCTATTCACAGCCCGGTGGCTTCGAGCGTGCTGCGGCATGAGAATAAGAGTCTCACTCGCCCCGCTCGATGCAGCCGATCCAGTCTCGCTCACGATCCTGCATCGAAGGGGGATTAATCTCGAGTGTTTACACCGGGAGGTGCGTGAAGCCGAGAAGCGAACGCGTGTCGACGCACTCCGGAACGGGAACCCCCGACATCAAGGCGATGGAAATGCTCGTCTGTGGGCACGCACGCACGCACGCACGCACGCCGTGCCCGTTCCCCATCCTCACCGATCATTCTTCCTTGTCTTCGCAGCGGGACGCGAGAACGGAGGGAGAGGACTCGATGAGGCCGACATCTTCCAGCTGGTCACTCAAGTACGTGCCATGCATTCGAGTACTCGGAAAGTCTCCGTATTTTCCGGTAGCCATGAGTAAGGTTTCGTGCTACTGTCTAGCTCACCCGGAATCGCACGATTTCGAAAAAATGTTTTTGTCGATTTTCTGGCGTGAAACGAGCGTGAAAATCGTATTGCTTGATGAGCCGTGGAAACTGGAATCAGTGAAGCAGAGATGAAGGACTTTAACGCGACCTAGATTACTCATGAATCCTTATGCAATACGTTTTGAATTAGCGGGATCGAGCCTTGCCCGCTGATTGTGGCAAATTTCTTCCCATTTGAACGCGGGAATAGGAAGTTCGTCCCAGTTTAGGTTCAAGAAATCTTCTCCAGTACTTTCACCCAGTCCCCATTTGGTGGAGCCGAACATCATCTCATCACCTCGCCAAAAGAGAGTTTTCATATCGCGACCGGGGACAAATAAAAAAAAAATCATTCACCTTAATTTCAGTTTACGATTCAACTAGAAATCACACAAATTGCGACGTGCCTAAAATGCAGTTGAAGTCCGCGGAAGTCGGGCTAAAAATCAGGCGAGTCTGGCCAACGATACCGACCTGAAAAAAAAGCTAAAAAGAATTCCCCTCCCAGCTGCTGGAAGAATCAGGCGACACGGAAGCCCAGCGCCTCCTGGAGGAGAAGCTGGAGGCGAACGAGCGCCGCCGCGACCAGGCAAGGGCGTTGAGGTGCGCGGCGGACGCGTTGGACCGGGCCGCCGCGATCGCCTCGGGGGAAGCGCTTGGAGTCGTCGATCCCCTCGAGTTGGAGCTTCACGTTCGGCAGTTGGAAGTGAGTCGATCCCGCACGATCGTAGAACACCTTGGGAGATGCTAGAATTACAGTGGGAAATATCTAATTTTTGTAGAATTTCTCACCCGCGTAACTAACACGAAACACATGAAACACTTCGAAGCTCTTCGATGTCAAAAATGGATGTAAGATAGCCAAACGCAACATGGAAAATGAAACGCTTCGCTGTTGCGCGAGGGCGAGTTCAAATGAATATAATGATGATATCAGACGCTTCTCTTGGATACTGAAATTGAAAAATAGAATGAACAACCCGAAGAAAAGTTGCGGCTACACCCTTCTCGAATTTCCACCTCGCATGTCTTCAGCTGCACTTGCGCCTCAAGCGAATACTTCATTTCAACTTTCGATACGTCCTGTCGTTGATGCCGAAATATCCCGATTCCAGGCCAACTGCACTTATAGTGTCAGCCAGAACTTGTCACGGGAATGAGATACTGCGAAATTGGAGCAGGGCTGCGGAATTCCGGCAGGAAGAAAGGCGTAGGATTCCCCTCACTCAATTCATCGGTAGCGCCTACTACATTTCTTCAACCCCTTCAAACTCCTCGTAATCCTCTCTGAGAGCATTAACAGTAACGAAATTTGGCATACTTCTTCCTCTCTTACCAAAGAATCGCTGCAGCAAATTTGAAGCTCCATCTCCCTAGGCTTGTGGAGATTACTAATCTCATTTTTCGAAAATGTGAATTTCATTCGGTTTTTTTCTCCCCTCTCCGAAACTCCTTGGGAGTTTCGGAGGAAAGCGACCAACCATGAGAAAGATATTGACTCGTAGATGACGAAAAGTGTATTTTTTGTTGTTTGGGATGCTCCATTTTGCCATTAAAAAAATGAAGTTAGCTTTCGTTCGATAAGGCTTAGAGTGCTTCCTCCGGTACCGTCCCCCAGTGTTGCCGTATACAGTGCCAAAATTATGCCAGATTCAAGATCGTTTCAACCTTCGTATCGGCGTTTGGATCTTCTGACTTTTTAATGTATGAGACATTTTTGTGCTGAGTTCATGAGTTGAGCTGAGAATGAAGCGGTGGTTAGCAGTTATCGATCGATGTGATGGGATATGCAGATATCTAGTCCAGACATCCCTGAATTAACAAGATGGCACGTACCATGGATTCCATGCTTCTTGAAGGCATCCAAAACTCAGACCTATTCGAGATGGTTCGAGGAACTCCAGATAGGCTTAACGTTCCACGCCCCACTGAAATGGTTCATGAAACGCGAAACTGGCCGCCAATCGGTCTAACGTTACATATCCTCTGGTTCGTGAATCTATGAATCGGCCTGCGATTGGCCTAGCGTTTCACGTCCGCAACGAGATATCTCGAAAAACACGATTCACCCTTATAGGCCTAATTGAGTTTCTTTTGTCGAGAATTTAGTTTCTTTTGATAATAATAAGACAGGCCTTGGCGTGACGTGGAGGCAGTCTGTTGGCCTAGGCCTAACGTCAGCGAGTCTCGCAGAGAGTTTGAAGAAAGGGAAAGCCATTGGAAATTGGTTTTCACATTACTTCATTAACTGATTTAAGGGGATTTGTGAACTGGCGTCACCCTAAACGGGGGCTTAAAATGCCTCGGAGAAGTCTGACCCTGGTCAGCCAAGTCAATTGGGAATTTATTTCCTGGCCAAGAAAATATTTATTTCGGCAATTCCTTCTTCTAAGACAGCTTGATCAATAATTGACGTCGACTAAACCAAATGAAATAGGAAAATTACTTATTTCTCATTCCTTATTTCAGTTCATTCTTATTGCCTGGTGAATAGTAATCAAATAATTTGCATCGAACTGGAGATCCAAATGCCTTCCTCTATCGAAATTCTCATCAGTTGACCTGAAAATTTATCTGAATTAATCGCACGCAGGGATTTTCGATCTCAGAAGAAATGCCATTTCCGAGAAATAGGCAGATTTTATTTTTTTAAATATTCATCACGAAGTGATGAACATTTTTAAAATTCTCCAATCAAAACTCCAAACTCCGATCGCTTTTCACAACAAACGTGAGGTGTGCTCGTGACATATCACCATAGCCTTTCAATTGTTTTCCATTTATATTGAAGAGCATTTTATCCGAAGTCTCTGGGCTATATTTAAGGTTTGCCCTGAATTGAGTTCGTAATACAATATAGTACTGGTTTTGTTTCATTGCAAGTAGACAGAGGAATGATTCCTTTGCATACTCGATGGAGAAATCGCCACACCCTATCAAATCCCCTGCAGGAATTCTCTTGTAAATTGAATTCGTCGCGATCGGTGAATTTCCAGCCTTGAAATTTGAAGAAAGAGCACTGAAGAAGCTTCGAGCGAAGGCCCGAATTTTTCTCGAAAGGTATTTCGTATGTGTATTCTTCCTGCGTGCATTAATGTGCATTAATGTGCATTAATGACAGTTCCTTTAACGTTCCCAATGAGTGAAACTCTTCTGTTTTCGATTATGAAGAGCAAAACAGCGTATTTCAAGCGCTCAGCATCATGTTCAAAATAATTTGTTTGGAATTATCCTGCTCTGCGTCGTAATAATTTCCGACGAAGAACATGTAAATCTTAATATTTCATATATGATATACAGGATATCAACAAACTATGAATACACTTTGCGAGACGTATTACTCTGAAACGAATAATCTTAGAAACGGTGAAACGAAAACAAAATATTCAGAAACACTTCATGTTTTGTGTCGCATGGATACCAAGTTCGGTTTCATTCCGCTGGTGGTGCTGAAGCCAAGAAAGCAAAAATCCCGGATTTCCCAGGAGTTGTGATTGCAGCGTGCGTTCTTTCGCATCCAGACTGCTGTGTCAAATGACTGAAGTTTTTTGCTCTTATGAAGGGTGGATTTATGCTGACCGCTTTTAAAAGCACCCTCATCAGTGTCCTCGTCTATCCTCGGTCTCCACCGCCTTGAGACGGTGACGAAGACGCTCGGTTTCAATGACCTGTTATGAATAAGCATGAATGGTTGGTCCATACAGGGGCCCCATCCCGTACTTTGTCCCGTCGAAAGCGACAATTCGTACAGAAACGTATCAGAACGTGTTTCTTCAAACGTTTCACTTGTGGAGGAGAACGCGTTTATTTAATGTAATGTGTAAGTGCAACGTAATGTAATGTGCATTCTTGTAATGAATGAGACCCACCGAACGAATTCAAATGGAGGAGGGAGTATGATTCCCGTCGTAAGGGACTCCCAATTTCCCTTCATCGAATACATACTCGTATAGACAATTGTGACTGACTAAGTGACTGACTGACGCTAATTCTAACCATGTTCTAGAGAAGTTATAAAACTGAAACTTGGTACGCCATACCTTTTGGTATGCAGAGTTCATTTTAAAAAAATCCGACTTTGGCGGTACCCATTTGGGGGGGGGGGGGGAAATATTTTCAATGATATACAGAACCTGAATTCAGAAAAATTCAGACTTTGGATGTAAATACCCTTGAGGCACAAATTTCAGGGGAAGATGTTTTAAAATATTTTTTGTTTGCTTCGGTCAAGCGGATGAACGTGGAAAGCTGAAACGTGACATGGACGTACCTACTGAGACTCTGAGTTCAGGAAAAATGTCAAGTTTTTGATACATGCCCTGGGAACATATTTTTGGGAGGTGACGTTTTCAAATATTTTTTTTGTCCACTGAATTGTACAGAGATAGAAACATGAAACTCTGCACAGCAATAGCTGAGGGGATGGTGAGTTCCGAAAAGAATTCCAGTTTTGTGGTGCATACCCCCAGGGGAACAGCTTTTGGATTTGTCGGCTTTTCCAAATATATTTTTCCACCAGCAAAAAGAGCAAATTGATAAGGCTGAAACTTGGCATGCACCTAGTTCACCGAGTTCTCGAAACAGTTTTAAAAAAACATCTAGGATCCCTGTTCTATAAGCCTCCTGACAGATAAGATTCGGTGAAGTTTTTTGGGTCTCGAAACCATGGTATTACAACCTGGATTACAACTAAATGGGATCGCTACCGGGGTCAATATTGGGCCGGTATCGGCGCTGCTATTTACTTTAAATTCAGTACTGAGTAAAGGTTTCAAGATCCCCATGGTAAAGGTCCCCATGGTGGGGACACTTATATCATAGTGAGTATAACTAGAGGCGACACTCCGCTCGAATCCTACTCATTGACAAGGTTGGAATATAGACGTGACTGCCGATCCTCCACCACACATCAATAACTTCTCCATGGCCGAGCAGCGGACTCAATGAGACACGCGTGTTACGTTGAGGGATCCCTTCCGGTCGAATCCCCGAACGAGTCGATTCCCAATTCCGCTGCCACGAAGCACGCTTCATGGAAGTGTTGTCGATATGAAGTCACCAGATGTCTCTGTAATGTCACTGGCCTCCAACTATCGATGATGACATCGACTCATCCATCGATGCACAGGGATAGTTTCTCCTGTTGTCGAAAATCGTTTTTGGAACGGCGTTAGCTTAAGTTTTTTTCCTTCAATATCTTCGTTTGGCACGTTCTCCTTTCCGCACCGGCATCGACTGCTTGCAAACCTGCTGATAGTCGATGGTGCCGATGGTTCCACACCGGCAGCCGATATCGGTGATGTCCGATGTGTCAGTATAGTCCTACTAACAACGAAACAGAACGTGTGAATGATCGTGTTTTACTTCAGATAAGACCAGGAAATGAAACCAAAGTTGTTCGACTGTGAGCAAGATTGAGCGAGACAAAAGACCGGATACGCGTGATACCGTATCTTACGAGCCTTTGGCGCAGCTGACACTGACTCAAAGACGATTTGAAGTGCTGATATGCCCCAGTCAACAGAGCTGGAAATATGGAGGAAAGCTCTCCCCATGCATCCGAAGGGGAGATCCAGGCCTGAGGTGCATTATCGTCTTCATGCCTGTTTAGGCGGTAGACTATGACATTTGACTTTGCGCCAAGAGAGAGTCATAATGGGGTTGGAATTCCTGCGCAGCGGAATGCACCTATGTAAGGAGCATGCCCAATCGAAATATCCATTTCATTATACCAGACGTTCCGCCCCGGTTTGGCCATTATCTTCCGCGCTTTCGCGATGGTAGGTTACTCTCTCGCTCCCTGCAACACTCGTACCAATTCATTGGTTTCCTTTTCAAGAAATGGATGCACACTGAGTATGACACGGTTTCTCTCTACATTGTGTTGAATTGTCTTAGTATCATCAGGACCGTTCTGACCTAATAAAATTGTAGTTTTTGAACTCAAGAGAAAGGGAGAAGTAAGGGTCGCGTATGTATTGCTTGTCACAATTGAGCTTTCTGTATTGTGACTAGCTTTTATTTGGCTCCTTCCTTGGAATCTGCTTGAGTGACAAAGACTGACTTTCGATCGTTGGACAGGAAATTCAGAAGCTACTGGCACGCAACGTGGACACCCTGAGGTGTGAGGACGGAACAGAGGCGTTTTTGGCGAATAGCCTAGAGGAAGAACTTCGGTTCGTCGACGACTACCGGGAGAGACTGAGGAAGACCCTGCGCCTCTGGAAGGATGCCGAGGACTCCCTCGAGGAACTTCGCGTCTGGGTGAGAAACAGGGAGCAGGAGCGGGATCCCATCCCGTGCCTCCGGCCGTCTATCGCCCAGTTGCCTCGCATCCTGGAGAAACTCCAGGTGGGTCGCGAAATTCCTCATCTCCGTAATGTTGTCTGAGGAATCAAAACTACTGGAGATTTCGAAATCGTTGTCGAATATGTATGGTGGACCATGCTCCATTTGAGAGCCGACGTGATTCCTCTCAAATTATGTCCTCAAATGGAAAAAGTCTTGAATATATTGTCTTTTTTCCAGTATTTCATGGTCGTCCGAAGCAAATTAGAATCTCCTGTCGCTATCAAAACCGCTAAGAACGTTGCATCGCTTACTTCTTCCGGATTGCCGTCAAAGAGAAAGGCACATATTGGAGGCATAACTATTATTTATAATATTACCGTTAATGGCAAGACCCTTTCAGTACATCAAAATCCGTTTCGTCAACTTTAGTTCCTCTATCATTTTACAGATGCTCCAAACGAAGTTGAACGAGGGAGAGCCGCTGATCGAGAAGTGCAAGGAGAGGCTCGAGCGGGCGCGAGAATGGACGAGCCAGGAATCTTCGGCCAACCTCTTTGCCGAGTTCACCTTTTACGGGAACATCTATAAGAACCTGGCGGGCGCGGTGGAAACCTGGCTCGAGCATCTTAACCGAGTCCGTGAAGGACTCTCGGCCTTCAACGCCATGTGCCAGGAGATGCACGCCTCCATCGCTGAGTGCGAGAGGGTCCTCGACCCGGGACCTTTGTTGGACCGCACAGTCTTCCGGGTATGTGTCGTCGCACGAGAAAGATAAATTATTATCTCTTGCGTTTCAAAGAATTGTCTATTGCTGAAATGATATCCATATAGAATATTGCCATCGTTGGAAACCTTCAAGGTTTCATTTTCAGGGCTTTCTTAATCGCAAAATCCAGTTTGCTGAAATGCCAACGGGAGCTTCGTGATGGAAAGAGTTCTGCTCACACATACCTGATCTAACGAGTGGTATTTTTAAGATGATAAAAATGTACAATCAAAGTCAAGTATCCCTGCATGCCGCCATTTTGAGTTGCGCCAATAAACACCTTTATCTCTTTCTGGGAGATTTAAGCCTATACTCTGTTTCCTGTGAAGACGGACGGACCTAAGGAAAAACGTATGTAATGGATTAGTTAATTTTGAACGGTTTTATGAATCTTTAAGCGATATTTTTCCGCAATGTAGTGTCAAAAACGTCCTACTATCGTTTCATTGCGGGACATGCGGGAGTTTCCACTGGATATAGATCGTCCGACATGAACGAAGCGGATCGAATGACAGGTCTTTTCTGATCTTTTCCCAATATCAGGAATGGAAGACTAGGCTGGAACAATGGCCGGTGAAAGAGGCAAAGGAGGAGATGGACGGGATCGTGAAGCGGGTCAGCTTCCGCGACGGACGGTCCCTCCGGGAGCGACTTTCGGGGCTCCTGGCCCATAGAAACAGACTCCTAGCTCGGCTGCATGCGCCGGCGCCTCCTCTACCCCGGTCGACATCGTCGGAGACGAACAAAGAAATCCCCGTGGATCAAAGGTATATATTTTTTTGTTTCCTGGTTCATAATTAGTTATAACGACATCGAGAAACAACTGAAGCGAGGTTGTTCACAATGGATTTGGAGATGTCTGAGGAATGCTCCATGGGGCTTCGCTCCTCGATCCGCACCTATCGTCGTTCCACATTCCCCACGAACTATTCGAAATTCCCTGAAAAACACATTCGAAGTTGCAAGAAATAAGGTGATGCCGAACTCATTGAGGCATGAGAACGCTGGCCACAAGAGGGGAGGGGAAGGGGAGGGAGGAGGAATGCCAAGGCTCGAATGCTGAAACCTCCGTTAGTTACGTCCTTTAAGAATACATGGATTCCTGTGGAGGAAAAAGAGTTATTTAGCTTAATATTCTTTATCTCCCTTTGAGGTTTGTGCATTCGAGCCTTAGCCTTTCAGCTCTTCCACTGTTTTATCGAGAAACAGGCCGGGAATTCGATTCTGCACTTAGCTGAACAATTCCCGCAACCCTAGTTCCGACTCATTTGGATGACACTTCCCCAATCAGCCGTGTTAGTAGCTTGCTCTCGTGCCCTAAAGCGGAGGCATGCAGAATCCCTCGGTAATACTAGGTTTTTTAAGTACGAGATGAGAAAACCCCTGATAGTTTTACATCCTTCGTCCTCCTTCACCTTTTCTTTTTCCACCCTCACCCTCATGAGTCACCTACCATAAGAAATCAATAGAATCCACCGTTTCCGTGGTGCATCCCTCCTTACCTGAAGTTCCTTCCTGGACCTCCCTCTCCCCGGCCATCGATCGAACGGAACTAGCGACAACTAGAATGCATTTTAAAATCCTATGGTTTCTGTAGGAAGATATTGCATTCTCCCGATAATCGCCCCAAAACAACATGCAGGACTGTTGACCCTTGCATTCGCCTTAAAGCCTATTATGGATGAAAGTTCCATCATTTATTTCCCTGGCTCTTGCTCATAGGGAGTACGAGGAAAATCCTTCCTGGAACCTAGACTGGTTCTTGAGGGAACAAATTGGGCGATTTCCCTTCTGACGAAGGAAAATACGCCTCGACGAACTCGAAAAATTCAAGCCGGACGACGACCGAGGATGGTCTGTTCCATTCGAATAACTTGGGGAAAAGTCCCTCATGGAAGCTTAAAGAAATCCTCGGAACCTGCTCCCAAATTAATTGAGCTTGGTCATCGTCCGGCTTCCATGGCGGACAGAAAGTCCTGGGAATGGCATTTTAAAGTTCATCATGCATTTGCAGGTCCCCTTCCCCGAGACGGATTCGGATCCTCGTCTGCGTCTCGTTGTCCATTTTGCTGCTTTTGGCCCTGGGGCTCAGCGTCGTGGAGTTTGGGGGACCGGGATGCGAAGACGCGGACCATCTAAGGTGTCTCCAATCCAACACTCTGGCAGCCAGTTTCCAGCCCATGCTGGTCTACGTCCGCGGATCTCCTCCCGTCTAGTCAGGCCTCTAGTCAGTAGGGAGTGCACGCTTAAGCTTAAGATTATCTGCAATGTTTTGAGTAAAGAACCTTACGTGCTCATAAGTAATGCTGGGAGTGTGAATTTCGTGACGGGTGTGATGCAACGAAGCAATTCGATCCATAATGCATTCCGATGTTTCGATTTCACTTGGCTAAAGATGACTGTTCTGCGTAGTGCAAGACTACTATGCCATGGAGGAGAATTGTGGCCACAGGTAGGGCATGGTATTTAGCAGATGCGAACATGTCGTGCTTTTATGGCGGGAATTCTTTCCTTGAATCGTTCTCTGACCTCCTTGGTACTTTTGGTGCTTTTCATTTTCACTATTAAAAATTTCTGCATGTTAGCACTGCTCGGTTTAGATGAACATTTAATCGCCGTAATTTGCTCTTGGAGATAATTTATGCAAAAATTCAGCGTCGAACTTCGCATGCTTGGATACGCTTCGGAAAGATGACCCTAATAGCAAAAAATTCGCAATGATTTTTGGCTAATCATTCCATTTGTTAAAAAGGATTTCCAATTTTTCCAGGTAAAGAAGTGCGACAAGTGCAATGCAGTCATATTTTATCGCTCAACTCCTGAAGCTCTTCAAATGTGATGAATCCAACACTCATGACACAAATATATGAAACTGTGCAGTCCAGTCTCCTGGGAACGTTCTTCTTAAGCTCTCTAATGGAATGGATGACTTGAGGAAAACTCAGAAACTCTTGAGGCTCTTCCATAGATTAGAGATTCTAGAAACCTGCAGAGCAAGACAACGTTGCACGTTGAGGTGCTGCGGCACCATGGGGCCACTGCGATCGCTGCATAATTTAATTCACTATGCAACTTCTGGCGTGATCCCAAGAACACTAAGGCTAGGAATGTATCCAAACTCAATTCATTAAATGCTTTTTCTTGGTTTTAGGAATGGATTGTAACCTAAATGAATGGAAGCAAGCTTTTCCTTTGTCTGAAGATGAAACACTGGGAATTAAATCTGCGAGCATTGTTACTCTTCTACAGTACAGTGTTTTTCACTCGAGTTAGACATTTTTTCACTTGACTTCGACAACAGTGCATGGTGAGGGTGATATAGTGGATCGACGCAGAATCTAGGGGTTCCATTAAGTGCAGATGTGATGTTCGTGATTTACAGTGTTTTTCACTCGAGTTAGACATTTTTTCACTTGACTTCGACAACAGTGCATGGTGAGGGTGATATAGCGGATCGACGCAGAATCTAGGGGTTCCATTAAGTGCAGATGTGATGTTCGTGATGACTGAAGAGAGGAAAATAAATATGAACCTTCCCAAATACACAATATATTGAAATGATAATTTAAGGTCGTAGTGAGAAAATTAGGCTTTCGGGTCACCCATTACTGTTTTCCTTAATATTTCAATGAAACAGGTGAAGTATTGGGCATCGTTCGTGGGTTCCGAAGTACCATTCCCCACGCCAAACTCACGTGGGCTAGATTAGGCCTTTCTAACGTGGATCTGGGATCGTCCATCGAAGTCCGATCCAGTGTTTCTACACCGTTGAGCCGATAGGAAATTGAAAACTTAGAGCCTTTTTATTTAAAAAGACTGCAAGGAGGGTCTCCCGTTGACAACATTGCTATGCCTGCGGTTCATCGCATCCAGGACATAGTTTGATTCGTATGAAAAATCCTAAATATTGGAAGAGAAAGATGTCGCTAGTCACCAGGGGCACCTGCGCCCTCGCCTCCTCTCTGAATACCCCTCGCATCGGTGTCTTAATCAAGTGAAAAATTGTCTAACTGAGGTGAAAAACACTGTAAAAACAGCTTACCTGGAGCATCTTGTTGATATTTAAAACGTTCATAATATGTCTCCTGAAGTGAAATAAGGAATCGGTCGTTTCAAGACGAATATGACGTTTTTACCAAGCCAATGTGAGACAGTACTGACAAATATAAGTCACCAGTCACCAAGACTCGCCTGGAATGGTGAGTTTACAGTTTAAAGTATCTGATCAGGTTTGCTGGATCTTCTCGACGATGTCACTGCGGCCCATCTCCCTCAGGGTTCCAATGAGTTTCTCATACATCTCCGCAGTGTCCTGTGCCAGGAGGATGTCGAACGAGGCATCTATCTTTCCCTTGTAGGAAGATCGCCTCTTAATCTCTCTTTCTTCTACTACAGACAAGACCCTTTTCAATGAAAGAATGTCGAGGAAGTGGTCGATATTGACGATGGTGTTCGGGTCATTCAATATGTCTTTCACCCGTCTGACGTCATACAGAGTGCCACTTTTGGGGGTTCTGGAAAGAAGATTTAAATGTCCTTGTGCATTCAAATGTTGCTTTAGATAGTGGGACATGAAACCGATAAAAATTCCACAAAGTCCGGACCGTTGAAATCATCATTAACAGTACCATTCATATCGAGAAAAATAATTTTAAACGACATTTAGTGTCTCCATCATTTCTTATTCGCCCCATTTTGCGTGCTATTATCGGCTGGCGGAGTTGCGACATTGCAGCAGTACTGATCTTATCGGAAATGTGGGGGGGAAATAATCCATTTCAGAGGAGGTCCTAAAAAATCACAAATTTCAAAGTAGATCACACCTGCAAGATAACTTTCTTCCGTCAAAAAATAATCATGCCAAAAAACGTAATATTCTTGTGACGAGTGTTTCAGCCAGCCTAAGGCTGCAGTTTTAGGCAAAATTTCATTTTTCAGGTATTTCTTTTTAGCCTATTGAGATGTTGTGCACCTCGTTGGTGGCGGCGAGGGCTGGGAGAAAGGCTGGACTGACTGGCAAAAACTTGGATTCATAAGACCTGAAACCGAGAGACGAGGAATAAAGTCTGTTAAATTGCAGTTTCACGAAAATTGGCAAACCTACGTGCGGTCCTGCGAAAGGAGAAGACCCTGCAAGTAATCTGCTGCTCTAGGGTTTACATTGTTGAGTGCGGCGAGGAAGAGGGGTTGGTATGCCATGGGATCTTTGCTGTACAGGATAGGAAAGATCACATCAAAGCGGTCATGCTGATCCTTTATATTATTGATGACCGTCTCTTCCATATTGGTGAATATATTCATGGAGACTAAGTTGGTGAACAACATATTACCCTCCAGCCCGTATTGATCCCTCAGTTTAGACTTGTTTTCTCTGATCGTATTCCAATTCGTGTACGGCTCGCACATCCTGATCGTCACCTCTGGGTTGGTATAAGCTGAATCTTCATGCACTTCCTGATTCGAAAGGAAAGGGAATAATGTTAGTGTTATTTCAATTACTACTTTTAAATAGCAAAAGGGGTTAATTGCTATGATCTTTTAAATGTTTATTTGCCCTTAAATAGAAACTTATACGAAGACGATAAACATATGAAAGAATATGAGTTCAGTAACTTGGTTACCAGCTTTTCCAGAATGTTGCCTTTGCTTGGAAATTTAATATCAGGGGACATTTTTCAAGACTTCGCTTTTAATTTTAAATGATCCTCATGACCTTCAGCTCACTTGCGTCAACGGCACTGCCAGATCTTACAAAAACGATATACATTTGTTAAATTTCCGCTATTCTAAAATGTTCTGGCTTTGGGACCTGCAAAATATGGACAGACGTTATCGAGCAGAAGGCCAGATTGATTTACAATATCCTGGTGTACATTCGATATCTTCATCTTGAAACAGGCCCGGTATGAGATTACGAAGAGGGATTAGCGGATCCGTAGTTCGCATTCAGTAACCATAAAAAACACCATTAACCTCTTGTGTTCTTGAAAATCGGGCGAAATCCAAAGTCAATTCATATTGGTGGCGTGAGTGACTCTCATAACTTCTACGAAAAGCCCAACTGAAGACTTACCCTTTGAGCTGAAGTCAAATCCTAAGATTCAACTGAAAGGAGACATTCTCTAAGCAGACTGGATGCGAGGCAAACCTGTTTGAAGAAAAGCGTGACAATTATTATGCAGAAATACATAATTGTGTCCGTTCTTCGTAAACGGTTTGGAGAGGATATAACATAAAATGGGAGTCGCCAGTGGTTAATTTCATGTTGGAATTTTCTTAAGGGGGCTTAAAGATAATAGGAGTTCAAATCCGTTGATATTTGGCTCCATCCTAATAAACCATTAGGTTTTAAAGTTTGTAAGATATACTGCTAATGAAGTAATGAGAAAACCATTTTTCAACGACTTCATATTTTTTCAACTTCAGCCTCAACCCTCCGCCGCTCTACGGGATTCATTAACTTAGTCTTAGGGCTGGGCCTACCTTCTTTCGTTCGAAAGAAACTCAATCCTCGACTTATTTGGTCAATTAGATCTATAAGGTTCATCCCATGCTCTTCACATCTCTTTGAGGACGTGTAACGTTAGACCAATCAGAGACCTGTCTCAATTTTCATGAACCATTTCTGTGCGGACGTGACACGATAGGACTATCTGAGTTCCTCAAACCATCTCGACTAGTACTTAGGAGAGAATGCCTCCAGGAAGCATGAAATACACTAAGCTACTGTATAGGAAGAGGAATGCATTGCTCAATGGGAGCCTTCCTTGTGGAGAGATCACTTCAACCGCCATTGCGGGGTTCTATGCGGAAAAAGTGGAAATCCAAAATTTTAAGACCAAATGTCATTTCCTGGATGTGAAGAAGCTAGGCATCATGTCTACTACCAAATAAATGCCTCTATTCGAAGAGAGTTTCTTGATTCAATTTGCTTTGAAGGAATAGCATCTTGGCTGAAGATCTTCGTGCCACTTTACCCTCACTTTGTTATAAAATAGGCCTTCATGGCATGTTGTCTCTAAGTTCTTCGAGAAAGGTGACAAAGACCCTAGGTCCACGTCCTATTCCTTGCTCGTACCTTTAGACAGGCGACGATTGATCAGGTTTTCGATGTAGATCGTCCAGGATATTTAGCGGAACTTCCTGCAAATCACAGCGAGACAAACTGAAGGGCTCTGCCTTGAGCGGGACACATTCAAGCAACCATGTGCTCGTGGATACGAAGTATAGAACAGCGCCATCATGGTTGAAGTGACGTCTCCACAAGGAAGGCTCCCATAGGACGGTGCATTCCTTTCCACATCGCTGTTGAAATACAAGCTGGGCGTCATCCTGTTAATTCAGGGATGTTCGGGTAAGATATCTCCATATCCCACTGCAAATCCGCCACTGCTAACCGCCGTTTCAATCTCAGCTCATCTCGTGAACTCGCCACAAAAATGTCTCATGCATTAAAAATCAGAATATGCAGATACTGTGAAGACCGAAGCAGTCTTGAATCTGACAACTCCGGCAGAAAATCCGGCAACACTGGAGGACCGGACTTGAGTCATCGCTATGAATCTAAGCGAACGATGGTTAATTTAATTTTTTAAAATGACGAAATTGTGCATCGTGAACAAAAAAGGGCATATCTTCGTGGTCGACGAGTCAATATTTTTCTTATTGTTGGTCTCTTTCCTCCAAAAATTTCTCAGGGAGTGTCCAGGAGCGAGAGAAAAAAATAATGAAATTCACATCTTGCTGAAGCGAGATGGAGTGTTCTCTACAACCCTGGGGAGATGGAGCTTCAAATTTGTTGGTGCGATCCTGAGTTGAGAGAGGGAGAAATATGCTCAATTTCGTTCCTGTTTATGCTCTCAGAGAGGATTGCGAGGAGATTGAATTTTGTCACAGGAAGGGGTTGAAGAAAGGTAATGGGCATTACCAATAGCCTATTGAATTTTATGGATTCGCTCAATTGAGGAAATGGAGCGGGTCCATGAAAGTCCACAATCCCGACCAGATAAGTCATGCTGGCAATATAACGAAAAATATGTGGGAGCTCTTAGAAAATTCCATAAAAATCTTTATATATTGCCCTGAGTAGCTATCTCATCGTCACCGCAGCACCATCGCTTGACGCCGAATGATTCAAACCTGACATGAAGAAAGCCTTGAACCTTGCGATTCCGGTGTCCGCTCTATGCAAAAAGTCCTCGAAGAAAGTAAGAATATGAAGTACGCCTTGATTCTATCGCTCCAAGGCCCAGCATTTCAACGGAAGTGGCAATTTCTCTCATCCGATCCACCCGAGTAGGATTTTTTCCAAGAACGCGAAAAATAAAATAAAATTTAGATAACCGGTACGGAATCTTGCAGTGCAGTCTGGCCTTCATTCGGTATTATCGTTCCGGTTCAGTTGAATGGTAAAGTCGTTCAGCTGCCCTTCTGATTGATTGGAATTGCTACGGTCATTGTCCTTTCTTTTTCGCAGTCGGACAAAAGTTACTGGTAAATCCTCTTCCACGGAACCTTCAGAGCAGAGCAAAAACGAAATTTCTGCACTCAACATCCTGATAGAAAATTGGCTCTCTTGAAACAGTGTAATAGGAACAATGACGATGGCATTATGCAAAATCCTCGGTGAGATTCTAGTATTATCCAGGCAGTATTATTTTCCCCTTGGCTGCACATAAATCATAAAAAGACTAGAAATTTAAGTTCTTGTCCTGCAGGCTGCCGTTTTCATTGTCTCAACAGAATACCCAAACAGTAAAATGAAGTAGGGCGAGAGCAGGGGGAAGGGGAAACATACCGTCATACTGACAAAGGAATAAGTGATATCGAACGCTCAAACATGTTCGTCTCACCGAGAAGAGATACTAAGTAATATTATTTGACTTCACCTTATCTTATCAACTTTGAACACTGACACCCCTGTTATCTGAAGTACCATTGCCAATGCCAATTGCCATCGTACTTAAAGCATGCGAGGCCAAGTGATTCAATGACAACGGATGCCGGGAATACGAATCCGAACAAATAATTTCCTCATGGAGATGGTTGGAATGCTTGAAGCCTTTTCATTTGATGGAGAATATTTTTTTTCATCTTTCGACATTCCCAAGACATTTGACGTCGTGGCTCAGCAGAGCACAGACCCACCAAAACGGGGGAGGCAACGACCCCCAACCATATTTGAAAAGGGGGGGAACCCCCCCTTCTCAAATATGTAGGAGTAAAATGAACCCGGTCCATTTTACTCCCACAAGGTTCGGAATCATCCAGGATATCCAAGCTCGCATCCTGACAGAAGTCCCATATCCCTCTTCCCGAGGATTTGAAAATTCCATGAAAGCGGATTTGAATCGGTCCCGGAAGCTTTCAATGCCTGGGGTTTCCTTGCTGCGATGCGCTTTGGTTAGTACGGAATAGTGAGTTTCCCATACGAAAGCGACATTTCTCTCGAGGCATGCATGATAATCTCATTTTTGCGGTCTAATTTCGCTGCCCCTTCGGAGGAAAGGTTGCTCGTTCGTTCTCGTCATTATTAATCTGTTAATCGCCCGAATTAATGTCAAAGCGATTCCACGTCTCCATTCGCATTGAACCCCGAAAAGGAAAACTTCCGAGACTGTCGGCATTTACCACCGAAATGTTTCAGGAAAAAAATCCTCCGACGAAGAGAAGTCAAATGGCTTAGCCACGAGTCAAGTAATGGCTTAGACACGACGAACCAACTTCACGAGGAAAACCTTAAGGCCGAAAAAGAACCACAGGTAATAATATTCCTCATCACACGCGATTTCTTGCTCCAGGCTTTTCCAGCATAACAAACCGGCACTTTGCCATGATTTTCCTTAGTTCCCGCTCTCCTTGCCATCAATTCAGGAGGCGCTTGGTTAATATTAATTAATTATCCGCTGAGCTATATGCTTCGCACGACTAGAGAAGCACTGTTACCATGGCTCGGAAATCATTCCAACGGGGCCCCAATCATGTGCGGCACATGTATATTCGAAGATGGTAAATAAATTGAACTTGCCTGCTCGAAAGACGCTCTGAAGAGAGGAGACAGTTGAGTAAGGGATGCGAAATTCTCGGAAGCCGAGTTCGACTGTGCGATGCACGCGACCTCTGCAGGATGGATTTGGCAAACGGATGTTGAAGGATTTTTCCAGAGGTGGCGCTCATCTTTCTGCAGCAGGGGATTTACCGTTAGATTCATGCTTACATCTTCTAAGAAAACATTCTCTGCTCCCTCCTATTTAGATTCACGCTTAAACATTTTGAAGTAAATGCATGAGCAAAGAATACCAAGGGAATTCCACAGAGCAATGCGCGCTCGTCAAAAATTCCCCCCGAAAAACAAACCGGTTAAGGGTTAAACTGACACCCGTGTCTTCAATCCCGATGTCCCAGGTGCAATAAAGGAATACTTTGAGTTCTGGCGGCATGCGGATCGTCTCCATAGGACCTAAACTGACCCGTGCAACGGGCTCGTATGTCGGTTGGCAATCGAGTTTCCGTTCGGGTGCGATGGAATTCCTCATCTGAGATCTCGAGTTCTGAAGTTCTGAGGACGAAGTGGGCTTTGTAACCTTCCCGGTCCGCAACCGATTTTCGGGTCGATTGTCGGCAGCGACGCGTGAACACACGGCCCGGGAAGGCGTTCGAAACAATGCAATTATTTTCGCTGAAATTTGGTCTCGTTGGTTCAATATTGCATGATTTTTCGCACTTTTTTATGAAATCGCCTCCATTTCTCCAGCTTTTGATCTCACCCACGAATTCGTCCATTTTGAGTTGGAATTCCCCGGAATGACACCCAATCGCGGACAGATCGAAGATGGCCGAGCGATGGCCGAAACGGGGAATTCACGCATCCCATCCCCAAAGAAAGTTCTTTCCCCCCGATGCAAAGGTTATTTTTCATCGGTTTCAGATTTCGCGATACGACCGTCTTGCACGGTTTCCCCTGCCACAGACCCGCTTCGACAGCTCGGGGCCTCACCGGCACTTCACGGCTCGGATCCGCTAAGCTCGGTCGACGTTCGAGTAATAATCATCGCCTCCGGGATTTTAGTTTCAAAACTCCCTTACGACTTCTTTCGTCCATGAATATTTAAAGCAGAATTAAATTTTTTGTTGTTGTCAAACGTTGAAGGAGGTATTCTGGCGTAGTGTAGTAGTCGCATGTATCAATACTACAGCAAGAAGGTATCTATAACTATTATTGGAATATGTGCCCTGGAGTGAACTGCACGCACTAAAAGTTTCGCGATAGGCGTATCACAGCCGAAAACCCATCTTCGTGACCAGATCCTTCCCGTCCACGACAGTGGACATCATGCACGAATGGGGTTGAAAATCCTCTCATCCCTTCAGGAGGATTTTCCCGGAATGACACACTGACAGGTGCGCCTTTTTTTTATACGTGTGGATACCTCAGAACGCGTTGCACGTTTCAAAATAGCAATTTTCTGCGGACTGCACGTCACCTATCCCGCAAAAAAATAGCCAGAGCAAGCAGGAGCTTCTGATCCATCCGGAACACGCAGATGAAATCAGAAGAAAAAGAAGATAGTGACGCAGAAAGGGGAATTCCGAGAAAGTTCCCTCCCAAAACGAATCCAACTCCCGCGACCTTCGTACAGCGAGACAGAGACAAGTCTATTCCAGTCCTTTTCCCCCTCGAACCCCCCCGCAAGTACTCCTCAGTACTGCCAGTATCGTCTCACCCCCCTCGTCTCCTATAAGTCGTACTAGTGAGCTTAGCCAAGAGCTTATTTTCAATTTTCGAGACGATAAG